AACCCGAAGAACGTCAAAGTAGAATTTGGGGAAGTTGAATCTAATTACAAAGTTTTTCGCTACCGTACTCCTCGGCTTCTTACGATATGCGCACAGTAACGCTGAAATTTTGGCCTTTTTCTAAGATTTACTAATTCAACGTTGCAGTTACAAACACGCAGAAATCAATTTTTCAGATCAATTCGATCAGGTCAAATCATTCATTGTGTGTGAAACCTGATTATGTGATGAATGAAGAAGTCTCCAAGGTTCAACTGAACTTTGTTTAACAAAGGCAACGTTGATTTAGTAAATCTTGAAAAAAGCCAAAAATTCAGCGTCACACCGTAAGAAGCCGAGGAGGGTAGCGGAAAGCTCTCTAGTTAGAATCGGCTTCCCCGAAAACCTTAGTTTGACATCCTTCGGTTTTTTAAAAAATTTTTAGAAGCATTTCTCGTCTGTCAGGAACCTAAAATTAATCGGAAATTCCTACAGCAATCCTACAGTAATTAGGGGAAATCTGTGATTTGCTCTATAATGTAAATCTAAGTTGAAGCTAGCGCTACTGTTTGGCACCCAAAGATCCGCGATAGCTTTTCATATAAGGAAGTTGTTAAAGATCGAACGTTCGCTACATTTTTTTTGGGACAATCTGTACAAAAGAGCTTTGACGAAAGCATTTTTGAGTGCTCTCGCTGGCCCCAGTATGCGTTCTTATAATGTCAAAATAATGATTCATTTGAACAGCTTGAAACAGTGGTTGTTTAGCGTCAAATATATATCATACAGAGCATATACTAGCGAAAAAGACCTTTTGATGTTATCGCTTTACTCAGAAACACCTGTGTAGTAGGTCCTTGAGTTTGTGCAGTTTTTTGGGCCTATTAGCAGATCAGCCAAGGCAACGGTAGTTGAAAGCTCTGAGTAGAAATTCACAGCTTTCCTATAGTTTTCAACGCTTCTGATTTTAAGCTGAGTTATCTGGTGCTCCTTCAAATGATCGCTGAAATTCGAATGTTCCATCGAAAACTCAACTTTTCCAATTTTTGTTCACGGAAGAGATTCGATAAAAGGCAAGATGCATGTGCTTTTGAGTGGCTTTCCATTGTTTTCGAAAATATTTCTTGATGATGTAGCAATCATGGTTCTTTTTGAACCTCGTAGTCCTTTGAAGCCAATCAAAAATTTGAAAAATATCGCAAGGATTGCTCTATTTGACTCTTAGTCAACTTGACCTGCGATATTACCCATGCTTTCGTTTCCAAAAGTATAGATTAGATGCGCGACAAGAGCGTACGAGACAAAACACTTGTTTATACACTTTCTCTATCTATTTTGACAGATATGTGACTCGATGTCACAAAATGTCACTGCCTTGCCTAAACAGTATTGAGATCCCCGTCGTCTTTACACCATTAACGATACTCATCGGCCTTACTACAAAGACTAGCTTGACGGTTTATTTCTGGCTTAAGAAGACCACTATCTCACCTCTAAATCCTGCATATGTTTATGACCTCGGTTTTTGGTGTTCATCCCCATCAATGTCGCCGCAGCGCGACATTGTCAACAATGCAGTATGCGAAACTGGTTTTTTCTAGCACAGCATCGCTTTTATTTAGCTTCGCCAAAGGGACTAAAACGACGAATTTGCACCTCTACACACCAAAGAACATGGTTGAATCACTCTTTCATCAAAGATTTTGTAATCTGTTAGAAGTTTGTGTATGTCCAAGAAATGTATGATTGCATCAGGTCTCACTTCAAGCAACGATGTTTTGATAACATATGCGTTTTACTGCACTTGGAACACTCACTGAGATATTTCAACTTCTCGGACTTTATATCTCTCTGGAAATTTCACCTACTTCTGATTTTTTTTTGATTCTGCGATGTTTTTTGTTCACTAGCATTCGTAGCTTCTTGCATTGATTAAATGGCCTCCGCTGCAATGATTTTTCCTAACAAAAGTATATTTCAACAGTGTAGATGACACCCATTTCATTTTGCTATGATAGCAAAGCTTTTTTTTTTCATCATAAAGACAATTGATTTACAATTGATTTTATGGCAGTTTCTCTATGATCAATACAAAATCGCAAAATCGAATTGCCGCATCTGATCGCCTAACTGCTGCTCTCGCTATCTAAAATTTTTTGTTGAGATTGCTTTTTTCAAGTGTAGTGTTCAAAGATAACAGTCTGATGACTGAAGCGTCTCAAGCACAAGACACATGCTGACCAAAATGATCATTCGTATTTGACAGTTCCCGTCCTTATCAAGTTTTTGCTTTGTGTGGCGATTGTTTTCAAGAGATACCAACGAATTCGTTGATCAGCGTGAGCCTGACTCTCACGCAAATTCTTAATAATCTGATTCTTGCATTAGAAATAATTTCCAGTTAGGCGCATGTCTAATTTGAAACACTATTTTATGTATTTTTACTTTCTAAAGTCGTAAATTCTTGCTCACGAGATAAGTCATATGTTTGGTGAGAATGCGTGTCTCTTACACTTTTTGCAGCCCCATCGATCATCGTCAATGATTATTCCGACACTAAATTGTTTTCTGGTTTTGACAGATTAGCAACTTAATTTCTAAAAATAAGCTCTGAAGTATCAAAAGCTCAGTGACGCGAAAAGGGCCGGGCATACTTCACGCGATTTCAGTCGCGACGCGATTTGGCAATACCCCAACTGTCCATAAATCACTGAGGGCACATTTTGAATGTACAGAAGATAGGGCGTTCTATCAGTTTAGGTAAGTTATACACACTATGCATGTGCAGTCTGCTAGTGTTGGATCCGAAGAGTTATGGCAAATTGCCAAACCGCGTCGCGACTGAAATCGCGTGAAGTATGCCTGGCCCTAAAGCTGTGTTCTTTTCGAAGTCGAACCCAAATTTCATCTTTAACCTTTCGAACCTGACTTCCCGGCTGCTTTAGAGAGAACGGAAGAAGATTTGCGGTCTATAATGGCATATTGAGGCTAATCCTAGGAGGCTTCTGTTAGGAGTACAGAGTTTTAGATGCGGCAATTCGATTTTGCGATTTTGTATTGATCATAGAGAAACTGCCATAAAATTAATTGTAAAGCATTTTATAGCATCCTTGCATTCTCAAACAATCGCCTTGTATAGCAATTTCGTCCATTCATAGCCTGCGAATCAAAAAGGTCCAAGACCTTTTTTTCTTTGTGCAATCACCTTGACATTTATTTTTCCAAAGTTACATACGGTTATCATAATCAGAACTTAACTGGAAAAGGAGGGTTCCTTGATCTTACAAGGGAAGGAAAGTTGGTCGATTTGGCCCTATCAAAATGGCTACACAAGCTTGTATGGAATGCTGTTTTCAAATCTGCCTTCCTTATCTGCTGCGGGCTTCTGGGCGAGGGGTTATGAAGGTTTTTGTGAGATAAAAGTTAAATGCAAGATTAGTGTAAAATCAGTCTTAACATTTTTTCTAGGGCTTAACTGGTAGTCGGGTCACTCGGTGCAACAAATGTTTCTGATTCAAATATACCAACTCGCTGTTGCCTCATTTGAACGTTAGGGAAACGTTACGACTGATTTTATATTAGCCCTGCATAAAAAATTTTCACTCACAAAGATCTTCATAATTTCTCGCTCAGAAGTACGCAGCAGATTGCAAAGGTAGATTTGAATCAGCGTCCCAAGCTCCACGAGACAGTGTACATCTCATTCTAGAAGGCCACTTCGACCAATCTTCCTTCCCTTGTCAGACTGCTCCTCTGCAGTCGCAAAAAGACAGTTAAAGAAAGACTTAGATTGAGGAAAACTGCACATCACCCCGGTTTCAATCTGACTTTGGATAGCACAAACATTGCTCCAATAAAAGAGCCTCACTCGCTTGAGAAACCTTTGACACGCATCAGTGTGGTGGTGAAGATTTCTTTGATCTTGCGACATCAATCAACTTTCCTGTATCAAGTAAACGAGAAGAGTAGGGGCTTACATACGATTTGATAAGAAATTCTTCGCTTAGAGCAAGCGTTCCTGTGTTAGAGTCTGCAAACAAAGCAAAAGATTGTCAATACGTATGGTATTGAGGGCTCGGGCTTTACGTTTTGATGCAATCGAACTCTTCACATTGTTTTGTGCTCGAGCTCACATGACTTCTTTTTGTATTTAGATAGTTTAAATTTGCTCTTTGAGCTAAAATTTTGATTTTGAACTTCAAATCAAAGGAGGAAACCAATTCAGAGACTTTGTATTTTGAGCAGATTGTATCGTTTGGTAACTCATCGTAAATAGACTAGTTCAAGAGCTACTGATCTACCATCTTTTCCCTTTGACAGCTGCCTTTCTATCTGTAGTCAGTAAATTTTTATTATGAGTAGCGAGTGCTAGAAATGCACTGCATCTGATATGTTTCTATTTTTCGCTATTCTCGTACTTGATCATAACATTTTTCTATGCATTTTTTCATCTTTTCGATGCTTAATTGCTTATTTCCATGCTTTGCTAATCTCTCGACTCTTTTTGATTGCCTATCTCAAATAATACCTCTTTGTTGTGTGGCACTATGGCTGTTTCCGTTTACTTCTCAATCGAACACTTACTGCGAGAGGAAAATGCTCGAAATTTCTGTAGACGTCCTAGTATAAAGTGTTCGGTACAAAAGCTGCGAACAAATCTTGCCAGTTTTTCAGTTTTTTCTCATTTAGCAAAGTTCACGAAGTCGTGTATCCATATGTGCATCTGGGGAGCTAAGAGTGATAAACTATACTACTTTGGTAGATATTCGCATGATTGTTATCTCCTATCTTTATACAGAAAGTCTCCGCTCTATTCTTCTTGGATACGTAGTTTTCTACGATTAGCAGCTATGTGTTCCTAGACGGCTTCAGCTCAGTCATCATTTCAAGCGAAAATTCTGAAACTTTGCGATGACACTCTTTCTTGATTTGTTCTGAACTTCTCATCACTCTCTTAGAAGGAGGTTTGGTGGATTGATATGTATAAGCCCCTCTTCTTTTCCTCTCAAAATATTTCAAGAATGAATCCATCAAACTACAGTGGAGTTTCGTGTGCAATCTCTGATCTTATTGTGACCGTCGCTTCTTGCTCTCCGTTACCTGTCGATATGCCTATCGCTTTTGTTCCTTATCAGTCTTGGTCAAACAGTAGAGTACGTAGTTTCGATACCCTCCAAGGTCGCTGGCCTACGTTGATTTGTCATTCGCATTGGCAAATTGTACGAAAAACTTACCACTTACTCACTGTATCAATTTTAGGGTTCCATAACAAAGAAAAAATGGCTTTCGCAGAGGTAAGTTGGAGAAACGATGTTCTCCTACTTCCTTGTGTGAGTAATGGCTTTGTTTAGGTTGTATCACGGCAAAGGGAGTTTTTCCGAACAGGAGAGCCAGCGAAGATCGAGCATAGAAAACAGCAACTACTCAATCTGCGCAAGATGATTACTGAAAACTCAGAAACGTTGGGTGAAGCTGTTCATCAAGATTTGAGACGGGTAGGTCCTACTCCTGTGGTCTGGATTAGTATTTTCAAGTCCTAATAATGATTTGGAAAATCTTGGAAAGTAGAGTTCACCACCTAATCTTCATTTTCCCATTTTTGATTGCATGTTTCATTGTTAATAAGCTATCTACATAGCTTCAGTATGCTACCAGGAAAAAATATCTCCCCAGGTCTAGCGCGATTTTTCAGTCAGTTCAGTCTTTCAAATGCCATGATTCTATCCAGGGACTGGAGACATCATGTTTATCATGAACAAATAATTCAATAAATGTTTGCCATGTAGCAATTCGTTTCATACCAGTTCAAACCGATAACCGTTTCAAGAAATTTGCAATTCAAATGTAATTTTCAAGAAACATAAATGGTAAGGTAATGCGCTGTCACGAAAACTGTTTCAAAATTTTGTTTGAGAATCTGCAACTAAATCATCGCTTTTCAGGACCCGCAAACTACGCATTTCCTCGAAATCGCTAACACTGTTGTTGAGATCGACTACATGCTTGATAATTTAGAAAACTGGAGCAAGCCCGTCACTGTAAGTCCAATACTTGTGCATATTATCGAATTAAGCATAATTCTAAAAATGTGGATTTCCATCTATTTGGCTGGCATATAATGAGATATATACTGGAGCTACGTGAATTTCTTTGTTTTTGGAAAGGAATAACGAGCTAATTTCAAGGTTGTGGTAAAGCGCATTTGCGCCTATCAGGTGAATCTGCTGTGAAGAACAAGATAATTATGCTTGATTCTAACCTCTCAGCTTTACATAATGAGCTCACGTGCTTAAATTGTCTTTTCTGACTCTTTAACCATTTATCAGCTAGTTATAGCTTTTTGTTTTTAGGTAGAGAAAACCATCGTAAATGCCTTGGATCAAGCGATGATAGTCAAAGAGCCACTTGGAGTGGTGTTGATTATATCACCATGGAATTATCCGATATCAATGATCCTGCTTCCACTAATTCCCGCAATTGCTGCAGGTTTGGTTTTCTTTCCCATCATATTTCAGTGGCGGTCCGGAAATTTTGGGTGGAAGGAAGGAGGGGGGGGGGGAGTGGGGAGAGGAACGTGAAAGAAATGTGCATGTTTTCAAATCTTTGTGGACTTATGTGGGTTTGAACGGTGAAATTTTTGAATGAAAAGGAAACTATTTTGCTTTACTGAGAATCTTGAAAATTCTGATGGTTTCTAAATTTCTGAAAGTTAACAAGTAAATGCAAGTCACTTGTCTAATTTTTTTTATTGATGTGGGCTGCTCAAAAAAATTGTCAACCCATACTTCTCTTTGTTGTGGAAATAACCATTATGTTAACCGCATACTGTAAAATAGTTGTTTTTCTTTGGGAAAGACCACATCGGAAATAGTGCAGACCCAAATTTCAAATATCGGTCGTAGAGAAAATTTTTGTGAACTGTTCGTGAAAAAGAATTAGGGAAGAGAGATGGCAAATGCATTAATTTAGGCAATACTGCTGTCATCAAGCCGTCAGAGGTGTCTTCACATACAGCAGCAGCATTTGAGAAACTTGTGGCGAAATACTTTGATCCGGTATTGTAAAAATTATACAGCATTCAGTTATCGTTTAATAACCGCATGTTGTTCAGAAAATGGTTACCATAATCAATGGTGGTGTCGAGGAGACTACAGAACTGCTGAAAGAACGTTTCGACCACATTCTCTACACGGGATGTCCTCCAGTAGCAAAAATTATCATGACAGCTGCTGCAAAGCACTTGACGCCTGTGACGTTGGAGTTAGGTGGAAAATGGTATGGACGGCAACTAAGACTGCGTTTAGAGTTGACCGTGCTAGCAGCATGCCAGCGCCATGCTAGCACCGTGCCGCATTCGATCAATCAATACGGCGCGTGCAAGTGGAGCTGAATGCTGGAACGGCGCTGGCACAGCTCGAAGTACCGGCATTTGTGGACGCAGCCTAATGGAAAGCTCAAGTTCAATACTGAAGAATACTTTCTAGCCCCGTGGTTGTGGAAGATGATGCAGACATTGAGTTATCCGCTCGCCGCGTTGCTTGGGGCAAATGGATGAATTGTGGTCAGACGTGCTTGGCTCCAGATTACGTTATGGTGTCTCCAGCATCCAAGGAACAGGTGAAGAATCGTTCCCTAGTTCTTGCTGATAAGTTTTCCAATGTATGACTTTTGCAGTTTATTGACGCCTTGAGACGGAACATCACCGAATTCTACGGGAATGACATTCAAGCCAGCAAAGACTACTGCAGAATCATCAACCAACGACATTTCGAGTAATGCCTTTCTTTAACAATTTCACATTTGAGGGTTATGAAATTCTTTAGTCGTATAAACTCGCTCTTGGACTCTACTAAAGGAACTACCCTATTCAAAGGTGGGGAATGTGACCGCAATGATCTCTTCATACCTCCAGTTATACTTGATGTGCAGAAAGATGATCCATTCATGCATGACGAGGTGAGCGGCACCATGCACGTTAACACTGCTTAGGGGCTTACACCTTTGTATAAAAAATTATATAGTCACGTTTAGAGTCTGTTTACCTTGGAAAAAGACGTTGGCTTCTCTACTACTGTTTGAATTGCGATTTTACGTACTACAGTTATGATTTGAAGACTTCATGTATACAAAAATTGAATTTTTAGACGATTCGTAAGAAAAAATAATAATCTTTCAAAAGGGTATATTTTTTGGCTATCACCTTATGGCGGACTCATGTGAACCAGGGGGAAGGGAAGTACCCTTTATATGAGTGTGAAGCCGTGCAGCTGCTAGATATTAAACAGCTGTTATGGTACACAGTTTCATGAATTTTGAAAGCTTTATCAAAGAACTGCCCGAGGGGCGTGGTTAGCCATTTCTCAAATTTAAGGTTGTGAACTTACGAAGAATAAAGCAAAGAAATTCATAAAATTTTCTATCGCTCTCATCTACCTTTCCCAAACAAAAGTTTTGCGACCTTCATACTTGTACATATACTAATGAACGTTGCAGATCTTCGGACCCGTCCTTCCGGTGCTGACTATTCAAAATCTCAATGAAGCCTTAGCACATATTAATAATGGCGAAAAACCTCTCGCTGCCTATATTTTCACTCGCAGCGAGACAAATGCAAAACGATTATACACGGAGACCAGCAGTGGCGGTGTCACCGTAAACGACGTTGTGATGCATTTTACCGGTAAGCCATCAGATAAATTGAATCATAGTTTTTGCATGGAATGCTATGATTCCAGTGGACACACTGCCTTTCGGAGGTGTTGGCAACTCCGGCATGGGCAGGTATCGAGGCAAGTATGGTTTCGACACCTTCACCCACGAAAAATCTGTTCTAAAAAGAGGTTTTTTCGGAGAATCTCTGCAAAGGTGAGTGACATCTGATAAGCGTACTTTCAGTTTATCAATCTGAAAAAGTATTAGCTGTCAGAACCAAGAAGTAAGGTGATCTTTTGCACAGCTTTGATGGCCAGACATTGATGTGCTACATCTGATAACGTATGCTATGTTTTGCCTTACATGCTATCATCAAGAATAAACCTGAAGAGCACACGGCAGCACTTCCGAAAAATGCCGTTTATCATAACCATCATTTGAGAAAATTGTGAGCAAATTTATCATCAGAGTCAAAGCATACTTGCAGTGCTCGGTATCCCCCAGTATCAAAAGACAAACTGCGAACACTGGCCCGACTGACGGGCACTCGTCGAGCCATACCGTCGGTGGTCGCCTGGATCACCGGCATCCCGGTAATTGTCATCTCTGTCGTTATGGGGATGTTTTTGCAGGTGAGTTGCTAGACGACTCCTTTTGCCTGCTCCCCTGCTTTTCGCAATGAGTTCGCTGGGTTCCTGGAGGTCTGGTCTATTGTAGTATTATAGCAGTGGGCACGAGTCTGCTCTTGAGTTTCTTCCGAAATATCTTGCGGCCCAAAAAATTACTTTTTTGTACTTTGCTTCAGAAATTGAATAATAGTCCGTACTAAGATGACGGCCGGGCATTAGGTTGAATAATAATAATACAATACCGCTCACAGAATGTGCAAAATTATCGTAAATGTCGCAGAATTCCGGGAATTCCGCGAAGGTTCGCGAAGGTAACCTTCAAAATTCGCCTCGAACGGTTCTGATTTCCTCCCACATATGGGTAGCTTTAATTCAGAGAAACAGCCAAAGATTTTGCAGCTTCGAGGGCCTTAGTTCTTGAATTAATGTTCAAATCTGAAAATGTATTAAAAAATATTGGACAATGTAACACTTTTACTATTAGCCAAGTATATATAGAACAAACTGGACAAATACATTTTTCTCCTAGATAGAACGTGAAATTCGGCTTCAATCATTGACTACAAACTCTTTCAAAAATGAGACCTCTTGGTGCATGTAACAGTGATCATCTTTAACACTTGCGATTACCATTCTTATGTTCTGCTTGACCCTGGGACTACAGGAACCTGGCGTACTCGCACTGACATTGTCGATAGAAAAATATTGTTTATGTGTCTAAACTCCTGCAAAGTGAATTAGTCGTCTTCTGTAGACTCCAACGTTTTTCAATTTCAGCTTTCTCTGTTCTCGAGAAAGTAACATGATGATGCTATGTGAGTTGCATGTATAAATGACCTGTGTCAAATTACTCTACTCCTCCGTTTTGCATGTTCTCCCTCAGTCTTTTGCATGTCAGTAACGTCTTCTCTACAGTAACAGTTTTGCTCTACTGAACACATGTTTCCGCAGAATGTCATAATTATAGTACTGAAGCTGAAAAATAGTCTCCAAATTTGTCATAGTACTTTGGAAGCGCTTCGATTTAGTGCAGGAGAGAATTCTCCGAGAAGCCGAAAAATCCATAAAAGAAATTCTTCCTGAATACTGTGTTGATCGCTTCTTCACCAAAAAAGTAAAGCTTCTATGGTTAATTCAAAATATTCGCCTTTTTACCTGCAGGGTGTTGATTATTGAGACTCATCCCTTTCGCTCTCCCCTCTTGTCGGGATCTTTAGTTTTAGTATAGAAAAAATTTGAAGTGTATTTTCGCTAATACTAGAAGCCCACCATCGCGTATTTGTTACAACAAACCAGCCAGCATGGTCGAGTTATACTATCTTCTGCACTTTCGGCTGTACCTCCAAACTCTTACCCAAATTTTTCCTAACAATCTTGCGACGGCCTTTCATCTGGAAAAGGTATCTATAAACAAATTGAAAATTCGTCCCACAACTTCTTGAGCTTGACTACATCACAGTTCTGTGGATGAATTAGTTGGATGAATTAGTTTAGAAACAGAGTGGGCATGTATGCATCCAAGTTTACCTGTAGCACCTTCCCAGGATCTCCTTTGTTTCCTAAAGAATGTTTTTCAGAGATATCTCCGACTAATCAGATGAGAAGAATCTTCAGCTATCGTTGATCCAGTTCAGGTTGCATTGGATGGATTTTTCTTATCTCCACGATCTACTTCACACTTCATCTTTGTGAAACTAGTCCGTCGTATGTGGATGTAATCCTCATTTGCCCTAGCCATCGACTGAATCTCTATTGTACTTTTGTAAATTATTTCTATCCTAGTATGGTATTGTTACAATTCGAATGTGCACAAACATAAAGTTTTCTAATTTTGATTTGTTGAACAGTGAACATGAAGATGATTCAAAATTGATATATGGAAAGAAGATTAGTGCTAAATCATTCCCATTTTCATATGAGTTGTGTAAGTAGGTAATTATTCATAGGTGGATGATTTTCCGGCTTAATACACGCACATGGGACCATTTGGGACTTTATATTATGCAATTAATACATCAACAAGATGGAGGAATGGAGGATGGAGTTGATGTAAATTTTGGTCGAAAAACGTTTGTTCATAATAGTGATAATACCGTTGTTGAGCATGTAACTGGTAATCGATCGTACAAGTATCCAAAGTTTTAGGCTTTATAAATAAATCTGTTGCTTTTTGCAAGGGAAGGCAGTGGCGAACCGTATTGATCTACATGTTAGTAAATGCGTCTTGATGAGCTGATTCCAGATTTAACTTCCGTATCTGCTTAGCTCCTCTCTAGAGGAAGCTATGAGCGTTTGAATGCCCGAATTTAGCAAACATTTGCTGACACATCTTCAAGAACTACTTGTTCAAAAGCACTTCCTTGTGGGTTCGGTGTATGTACACATTACAGTACCCACACTAATTATTCGACAGAAAACGCAAAAACGGACGATCCGCGTTTTTTTCGTTTTTTCTTCATAACTTCCTTCAAATTGCATAAAATACAAATCCGAAGAAAGCATGATGCTCAGCTCGTTAAGATGAATCTTCCGATATATTGCACTCTCGTACTATTCTGTTTTCAATCTGCTCGATTTTTGTATGAGGACGGGTATTCGTAGTGGTGTAACTCAGCGAAGAACACACTTGGACGATTCAAGTAAACATGAGTCAGTAGTGCTGTCCCCGTAGATTATCACGTATTAGTGAGTAGCAAAGGATTCCCTTTCCATAGGGAAAGATAGGCCGTTTAATTTTGAACAAATCGATGTCTCTCAAATTTTCGTTACCGTAACCCTACAGTAAGACGCTAATTTGCAAAGCAGGTGTGTTTTTCGTGATCAGCAGGTTAGATAACCTCTATGCGCAAGTTTTCCAAGGAATTCAGAACCTTTTATTTTTTCTCGTTCTAAGCTGTGAAGCTCGCCGACGGGTTTTGGCTAAAATATTGATAATCTTGGATTGACCGGAAACTTCGCCCATAGAAGTTTTCGGACTCGCTGATTACAGAAATAGTGCCCTCTGTGCAGCATAAGTTCTTTTGGCAGAGTTATGCTGAGAGGAATACTGCGATACTACGCAAGTTCCTAAGTTTGTCTGCCCTTTGCGCGTGTCTGTTGGACAACTTACCTGCTCCTTTTTGTAATTTGAAATCACTAGAGACAGTGCTCTTAGAGCATGCTTAAACTAGGCCTTTACCTATATTGGTCGCCGAACTGTGAGCTGACAAACTCACGTCCGCATGAAAATCGTTCGAAATTTTAAGATCGAGTACTCTGCGTTGATACCACTGCTT